GGTTTCATCATCCAAGCTGCCTTTGACAGTTGTAGAACTGTCTTGCCACCTGCATCACAGGGGCTCTTACCTGTTGGACCCCGCAAAATTTACACACCTCCCGCAATTCAAGGTAGTCTACAACCCTACGCCGCACTCACCGCCTTCAAGGAGTCTCCATGATGATGCCTCCACAGAACGATGCCCCCCCTGGTGACACAACCCCTCAAAATGTTCCCCCCCCCAAGGGTTCCTCCTTGCATACTGTCCTCCCCCTGTCAAGCTCCCAAAGACCCCGTTGATCACTCCACTACTCTTGACTCTTGAAAATTTGTGAGTTGGGCATCACTCCACTCCTCTCGAACTGGACTCAGTAAAATTCCCATTCTAGAGTCGTCAAAAGGGACTCACGAAGGGAACTTTCAGACTGTCAATAGTCTGCAGCTTGGAATTTCTTATTTTTCTAGTGACAAGGGCCGACCCTACTCCAGGTACGACCTCATTTTTCACGAGTAGACTTGGAATAGAGGCTGACAAACGATGTCGTGTAGTACATTCCAACTCCGTGAGTCCCGCTTTCTAGAGTAAGTGGAGCGAAGGCGAGAATTTGAAGTTTTTAACCTCTGGCAGCTCTAGACAGACTCTCGAAGATTAGAGTACTGGAGCGAGACTTCATGTGTACTGTGCTACCATCTTTCCCCTGAACATAATGCATATGCATTATATTCGAGTTCTCCTAAAACATATATTTAAAATAAGTTAGTCATTTTTTTTTCAAATAGAACGACACTTCGAATAGAGCAGATATCCGTTGTATTCGAATAGAAGACATATGCGTTATATTCGGATTCTGACCTATAAAACCGCTCTATTCAAATTGAACATTACTCAGTTATTTTTTCGTAAAATTTATTGATGTCTATCACAAAGGAGCTCACTTGCCAAAAGGTCCAATTTGTATGTATGCATTTTTCCACCACCGTCTTCTCCCTCACACAAGGTGTCATTGTCAAGAATCTATGCAAGGCATATTTTCGTCTAGATACGGTCACGATGAGCGAAGATTGTGTCCAATTACGGTCATGATGAGTGTGAATTGTGTGCAAAAGTGCTCTCTTGACAGCTGCACAACAACAAAAACAAAAAAGTCCTTCAGGACATCCTTTAAAATTGGAACGATACAAAGAAGATTAGAATGACCCCTGCGCAAGGATGACACACATATATTAAGAAATGATCCAAATTTTAAAAAAAAAAGAAAGAAAAATAAAAAAAGAAGGAAAAACAAAAAATAAGGAAAAACAGGAAACTTACATAAAGCTCTATCCCCCTCCCCCCCACCCGCAAACGAATGTCATCCCACTTTGCTCTGCTCCAGACAAGACAAATGCAGTGTAGTGCAACATTGATGCACTGTGCTCTAGTGTACCTTAGTACAACAGGACAATTATGACCCGACTCCACCACTCAACATTCAACTGAACCCATCCATTCAGACTGATGCAACATTTTAAACCGCAAGTATATGGCCTCATCCTTGCAGAAAGTTTTTGTCTCCACAAGCAAAACTCGGAGGGGCCGCGTGGTGTGGGGTGCCGTTGAAAAAAACAATTGGCGGCCTCTGAAGTGGTGCGGGTTTCGTCCTGACACCCGTGGGCCGGTGTGTGTAGTACTGGTGCTTTAAACCACCAATACCTTTCTCAGCTATCGAGCGTAAAATCGACCTGCGCGCCAAAAAAAACTAACCAGCGCGGGCCTCATTTTGCCTGGCGCCACCACCCATTTCGTGTCGGTAGTCCCGAACCCGCCCACCTCCCGTGTTAACCGGCGGACATTTGTTTTTCAAGGAGGGAAAGACATTGTTGGTTTTAAATATAGAAAGTCCATTAGGGTCTCCAGATACACTAAGAATGTTTTGCAGCGTAGTGAGACCCATAATAAATGTGTACAAGCGATCTTTCCCGTTTGGTATAAGCACAGTGAGGATGAGGGTGGAATAAGCACCAATTACTCGTAGGCCCCAAACACACGGTGCAGACCCAGTGGCCGGGAATTGATCCTACTCAACTTGAATACTCCTTACCTCTTCCAAAGAAAGTTGTCAAATTGAACTAAAATATAACGTGTAGGTGTTATTCGTTTATAAACTACCAGTATACGAACCCAGCCTTACAAAAAAGAAAACTCACCGCCTACAAAATTTTTGGAGACCCAACCATCTATAAATTGAATCGGCGGCGGGCAGACCTGCGACCGATAGCTGGATGTATTGGTTGTATAACACATATGCCATATGTTTCCTGAACTCAAATGTAACATATATGTGTTATTCGTTTATAACACATATGCCATATGTTCGGGGAAGACTGGGCGAGGGCCAAGTAGGTGGGGTGAACTTTGTGTGGAGAGTCTCGACTCTCATCATCTGCTTTGGGGCGTCCTCGGGGCAGAAGGAAGTTTCCTTAGGGGGTTTGAAGAAAATTTCGGCCGTCGTTCCACCTATCCTTCAGATGGCCTCCCAATGATGATTCCTTTTGGTCGTCGGTGACCATTTTCATAACATTATAGTCAGCCGTGGGGGGGCCAATGTGGTCCAGCTGCCGAAGGCAGGAAACTTTGAAAGGCGCTGGCGACCGGAACCCCTCCCCCCTTTAAAAGCAATGGACCTCTCCATTCGAAAATCGAATTTCAAATCAAGTGCTGAACGTCACGATGGGGACGCGGGGTACGTGGCGTCCATATCTGCGATGGTGGAAATGGGCATTTGCAGCGGTGCAGTGGAGTCCTCGCACGTCACAATTTTTTTAGCGCCCCGCGAAGGTCCATCGCCATCGCCTCTGCATGCCGCCACGCCTATGCATTGAGTCGAGCATACATGGGGAACATTGCAGCGACGACGGACATGCGAAGTTGACGACAATAAAGAAGACAGCCGTGGCGGCAGCCGTGACAACCGTGCTCTTTCGTTGTCAGCAGGAGAGGTCATTGGGCAGAATGAAAGTGCAGATCAGCGCACGGAGGAGGAAGACGCTTCATCAAGTCCCAATCGAAGGGATGGATACCGTGGCCATAACCAAGGCTGCAGTTCAGGTTTGTTGCATCATGGATTGCAGTGTTCTCCCACAACCGACACCGAGGTGGTGGATGAAAAGGAGGACGGGGGGGGCATGGGAGGATCTCAAGCAATGCAATGATGCGATGGAGGAGTACTTATGGGAGAAGCTGCGTATGTTGCCACGTGTCTTTCGGGGGTGATTGCATCCAGTGTGGACGAATGCCTACGGGATGCGCTGCCGATGTCGATGTCGACTGCAGTCGGTGTCAATCCGTCCTCTTTTTTGTTGGAGGCCTTCGATAGAGGTCGGCCATCAACGATAGGGGAAGTGCACGTGGAACGGAAGGACCACGACAAGCAAAATTGTGACTAGGAGCAACAGTGGCAACCTTCAATAAAGGTCGGCCATCAACAACACGTACGACAGGGCCGTAATTCTACGACGACGGTGAAGGTCCACCGAACGGCGACGATGAAGGGAGCAAACGGTAGAGGACAGCATACAGTACACGCACTCTAACAGGTCGTACACCCTTGCACTGCGAACCGGGCCATGGCCTGCGCGGTGGCTTTTGGAGTGGTTTACTGAAGACTTGCTCTTCGCCTGCCGCCCGTCTATGTTGATGTCCTTCTTCGCAGACCACCTCTTACGTGTACATCCAGGCACCCTGCCGAGGATGCGGGCGTGGAAGAAGACGACAAGGACAAGCAAAAGGATGACCCAGCAGCGGCAGCCTTCGAAAGACGTTGGCCATGAAAGGCAAATGGGGACGGGCAGTAGCTAGATGACGATGGTGCACCTCCAGCAAACGGGGACGAAGAGGGCCGCAAAGGCCAGACCTCAGCATGGGACAAACGCCTTGTAACGTTTTTCATCATCGCGGAATACAATGGGCAATCGGAGCAAGGGGGGTTGGCTGAAGTATTCAAATTTGCCGACAGTTCGGCCCCTTTCCGTTCGGCGGCACGCACTGCGAGGGAGAACACTGGTCGACGACGTCCGCGCGGACCGGCTGGCCACCAACCGTTACCATTGGCGCAAGTTTCCTGGAAGCTGAACGTTGAAGACCCAAGATGTCCGTCGCTGCCTGGTAGGAACTCCAATGGACCAGCCGATGAAAATTTCATACCGACGACAGGTGCCCTCGCCACTCTGATTATCACGGATCCTTGACCTCCAAGGGACCTCGGGAGGTCCCTTGGGGAATGCCACCAAATGGCTGTAGACGGAGGACGGCCCGAGGATTCCCCAAGGAAATGTTTTCACATTTTTTTTTCGTTTTCATCCCCAAGGATAGGTGGAACGGCGGGATTTATGCATCCGAGGAGTGTCTAAGGAGTCCCAGACTCACACACTCACTTTCTTTTACTTATTAATGAACGAATTTGCGGTCAGAGACATCAGGTCTGACCCTAAATGGGGTGAGATACATTTAAGATATGGGCAGTGTGATTACCGCCTGAGCAGGTTTTTGCCAAAACAAAACGAAAGAGTTCTCGGTGAATAACAGCAGCGACAAGGGGCCACGCTGCACTCCTCTCGACATATGAATCTTCCGCTAGCGAACATGGAAAGATACACCGTCATTTCAGTTTTTAATTTTATCTTTTGTGCATCTCGAGAGTAGTGGAGCGAGCCCCAAGGCCCAGTCCACGTGACATTTGTGCCCGGAATGAAGCAAATCCTCGTACACGCACGGCGGCGCCAGCAGGGCCCTGCGGCGGCATCTGCATCAGCTGCGTCACGAGTCGCCAGCTGGACCGTCGTCCACTGCGGCTCACTTGTAAAGCCAATGGCTTGTCGGCCGCCTACTGTAGAATGCTTTATGTGAACGGCTGGCAATCGGACTATACGCGACGCTGTGGCAATCGAACGGTATCCCCGAGGTGGGTTCCACTCTCCTCGCACGCATGTTGCCACTTCAGCTCCTGGAACTGTACACGTCGGAATCGGGTTTAGCAGACGCGGCGCACAGCGTCGACTGCTGAAACCGCTGCCTCTTGGTGCTCAGAAAGGGACAGAATTCGGGCGCGGAGACGAACTGGGACGGTCCTTCGCACGCAGTCTGCGATTCGATCCGATGCAGTCGACTACCGGTAGCGCTGCGTTTGGCAGCCGGTAATGGTCAGCCGTGGGAGGCAAGGGCTGGTCCGAGAGAGATGGCGGCTGGGGCCTCTCTGGTTGGCGGTTCGAACCACGCCGCCCTCGTGGACTGGATTGGGAGTGTCTCATGTGGAGTGGGTTCCACGGACGGTTGGATTCGCGGGAGCAGTTCCCTTGGCGCGCCTCCCACTGCTACCGGTAGCCGCGGCAGCGCGCGCAACGTACGGTGCAGAAGAGAGGTGCTGGTCGCCCGCCTGGGGACCTGGGCGGGCTCTGGCCAACTTGTAAGTGCTGACTGGGGCGTGTCAGGACAACGTGGCAGACTCGATCTCGACCGAGGGCGCAATCACACGCGCGCACTCCCGAAAAGACGCGCACTCACCGCGCAGCAAAACGTGGTTCTAGCCAGGGAGAGTCTTACGGCCCTGCTCCGCCTCTGCGCTGCCGTCAGTCTTTCGCCGCCATCGCCTCTGCCTCGGCCGCCATGCCGACGTCTTCGTTTCCGTGACCTCGCGCCTCAGCGGCCATACCTACCTTGTTCGTTTCCCGCCGGGGAGGAGGCGACCAGGGCGCTTTGTGGCCATGCCGAACAACTAATAGGTGTTGTCGAGCGCGCAAGGCCGGGGTTCGAACCCTGCCGCCGTCGTCTTGCTCGTCGCCGCCCTGCTGCGGATGCCCTCCGCCACCCTCGCTGGGCCCCAATTAGGTACTCGAGGTTAAGATCGGCGGTGCGGAGGAGCCAACTACGGCCGTTGACTCTCATATCGGGGAAGGATCGTGTTTTTTTCCCGCCCAGAGGGTCAAGCAAATCGGCGGGCGTTGTCCTTGCCGACACCATGGAGCAGGGCGGCGGTCGATGGAGCAAACAGGATTACGAAGAGAAAGGTGTGGATTATGAGGAGGGTTTCTTCAAGAACTCCCGGGGCATGTCCCTGTTGACATCGACATGGCTTCCGGCCGGCAAGGAGCCCAAGGCGGTTGTCTTCTTTTGCCATGGCTATGGTGTAGAGTGCTCCATCTACATGGCCGAAACTGCTTTGCGGTTTGCGAGCGCCGGGTATGGTGTTTTCGGACTGGATGTTGAAGGCCATGGCCGCTCGGAGGGCCTGCGCTGTTTCATTGCGGACGCAGACAAGATGGTGGGAGATTGCGTGGACTATTTCAAGACAGTGAGGGAGCAGGCCGGGTTCAAGAAGAAGGCAAGGTTCCTCTACGGGGAATCGATGGGGGGAGCAACTTGTCTGCTGATACATCGGAAGGAGCCTGAAGTATGGAACGGCGCCATTCTCGTGGCGCCGATGTGTAAGATATCGGAGAAGGTGAAGCCTCCCGCGATCGTGACACGTGTCTTAACGAAGGTGGCGGCTTTTGCTCCCAGGTGGAAGATTGTGCCGACCAAAGACATCATCGATAGCGCTTACAAGGATCCAGCCAAACGAGAGTTCGTGCGATCCATTCCGTACACGTATCAGGACAGACCGCGTTTGGGAACGGCTCTGCAGTTGTTGCAAGTGAGCACGGATCTCGAAGGCCGTCTGGAGGAGGTGACCATCCCCTTCCTCCTGCTCCACGGTGAGGCGGATACTGTAACCGATCCGGCGGTGTCGCAGGCGTTGTACGAGGAGTCCAAGAGCTTCGACAAGACATTCAAGGTGTACCCAGGCATGTGGCATGCACTGACATCAGGAGAGCCAGATGACAACGTGGAGATCGTCTTCCGGGACATTTTCGAGTGGTTGGAGTCTAGGTGCATGGTTGGAAGTTTGTCCTCTCAGCAACGGCAACAGCAACAGTAGATAGCAGCGTACAGCAGCTGTATCCGGAACAGTGGCCACCTCGGACCCTGAGCGAGAACCGCTGTCTGCAGCGAGGAGGATATACGGAGAGAGAGTGAGAGAGACAGAGAGACACACAGAGAGAGAGAGAGAGAGAGAGAGAGAGAGAGAGAGAGAGAGAGAGAGAGAGAGAGAGAGAGAGAGAGAGAGAGNGACAGAGAGACACACAGAGAGAGAGAGAGAGAGAGAGAGAGAGAGAGAGAGAGAGAGAGAGAGAGAGAGAGAGAGAGAGAGAGAGAGAGAGAGAGGAGGTTCTCTGCTTTCACGAAGCGATGGAGGCTGGAATGACGGGAAGGGGTGTCGCAGTACCTTTGTACGTATCCATTTACCGATGGTCAATTATTACCTGAAATAGGAAAATGCATTCCTTGTTTGTCGATTAGTCAGAATTTGCCATGTTCTTGCATGCGGTATGGAAGTGACTGAATTTGAGGTTCTCTTTTGGCCGTTTTGTAGCGAGGTTGAAGAAGGGGAGGAAAGAGCAGACGTTACAATTGGATATTAAGCTGATGAGACTTTTCTTGAAAGTTATGAATAAGGGTTATCTCGATCCCGTGTGTTAATTAACGGTGGAAGTCTGACGACGTGTAATATGTGGAGGAGATCCGATAGGGTGTAATCTAACGATGGAAATTTGGTGGCGCGAAATCTAATGGCGGATCACGTGTCAGCTGACGATGGTTCTTGTGCACCAGGCACCAGGCAGAAGGCTTGATTTCCAATCGCTATTCCCTGGCAGTGCAGGACATTTCTAGTCCGTGGATGTGGATCGTGCACCTTGACGTTGGGGTTGAATAATTTTTCGCCTATTGGCTGGTTGGCTGACGATGTGGAGCGTAGTGCATAATATATTGTCACACTGGAAATCAGAGCGCAAAAGCGGAAAAAGACAAAACAAGAAAAAGAAAAGAAGTAAGGAAGGAAAGCCCCACCTGTTCGTCACCTACCGCGGTGATCACTGTCACATCAACACAGAGAGAGAGAGAGAGAGAGAGAGAGAGAGAGAGAGAGAGAGAGAGAGAGATGGAAAAGTGCTATCACTGCGTCCTTCTGTTATATTTTCTTGCTTTGATTTCGCATATGTATCCTTGGTTGACAGGTGTGTGATGATGTGGGACAGTGCGGGACAAGTTATATGCCATGTTTGCCGTCGTCATGTCATTCTCTACGTCTTTGTCAATTTGGGTGAGTGTTGTTCCCTACTCTTTGTGTCTTTCTTATTGTGTTGAGCGAACGGTTTGTCAATGGAGTTGAGGATGAGATGTTCCTTCGTCGTCTTTCTTACTCCATATGCTTATTGGAACAAACTGCGTGCTTACTACTGACAGCTCTGTTTCGGCATGGGTTTCGCCTTCTGCCTTTCTCGTGGAATGCCTTTGGGCAGCTGACGTTTTACATAGGACAAGCGGTTACCCGCCGCGGCTACGCCGGCGGATTACAGAACTAACACCTGCGTCTCCTCCCCGTTTTCTTCCGCCACCACATCCTCCTCCTTATCTCCCTCGTTCTCTTCGACCTCCTCTCTGTCCTGGTTCCGCATCCCACTCCTCGCCGACCTCCTCTTCTGCATTCTTCTTGCCCACCTCTACTTCCTCGTTTTCCCGCTCCTCGTCGCCCTCCTCGGCCGTGCCCTTCTCCTTCTCCCCCTCGCGCTCCTCTTTCCACCCCCTCTTGTCCCCTCCATATGTGAACCCAAGCCAAAGAAAAAGACAAACGCCTCACACAGAAAAAGACTGGTTTCAGACCATCGGTCTGGTCTCTCTTCGCCTTACACTGGAAAAGAAAAAGTGAAGACTGGTTTCAGACCATCGGTCTGGTCTCTCTTCGCCTTACACTGGAAAAGAAAAAGTGTACTTCGAGTTCAGACCATGGTCTCTCTCTAGTTGAACTACCAGTACTTGGCCCATCATTGGCCGTGGGGCCACTACCGTCTACCCCTGAACATAACCCGTATGCCTTGTAAAAGAATACAAGGGTTGTATTCGGTTGGTTTACAAGGCATATGGGTAGAACAGGACCAACTTTACCTTCACAAGGGGGTCGGGTCCAAGCTGAGTAGGCTCAGTTCTGGACCACGGCTGAGGGCCTCAGAGCCTTGAAAAATAGGGTCAAAGAAAAGTAGCCATGCACCTTTCCATGTTCTGGTCGGAGATTCATTTCTTTCCCCTACTTGGGGCCTGGCTGCACTCCTCAGCAAAAACGCAAAATGAGAATGAACCTTCTGCTAAAACGTGGAAAGATAAGGTTTTTTTTTGTCTTTTCTGTCTCCGCGACCACTGTAGCAGTGAGGCCTTGGTGAGTGGCTTGAACTGGCTTCCACTTTCTTGGGCGCGCCACTTTCTTGGTTGTCAGAAGTGCCTTCCCGCATGGACAAGCAGACACACACACACACACAGACGCACACACACACACACACACACAGACGCACACACACACACACACACAGACACACACAGAGAGAGAGAGAGAGA